ATTTTTTTTTTGAGTTGGAGTTCACTCTGTCTCCCATACTGGAGTGCAGTGGCCACTCCCGGCCACTGCAGCCTCGATCTGCTGGGCTCCAGTGATCCTTCCGCCTCAGCCTTCTAAGTAGCCGGAATTACAGGCATGCGCTACCACACCCTGCTGATTTTTTGATTTATTGTAGAACGAGGTTTCGTAGCTCAGGCAGGTCTCGAACCCATGGACTCAGGCAATCTACTCACCTCAGCCTCCCAAAGGTGCGGGATTACAGGCTGAGCCACTGAGCCCGGCTTGCTTCTTGATTTTGTTCACTAGTATTTTGTGGTGAACTGGTTTTATCCAACTTTTCTTCCTGTTTTCTCATTTTTATTGGTTGTATAATCACATAGAATATTGATGTTCTGTTATATCATCCTTATCCCCACCATTGTTTTCATCTTAGTTTTGCAGTAAATATGCATTTAGTAATTACCACTAGCCCTTTTGTCAACATTTCTCTTGGATGGCTGGAATGTGTACTCTGACAGTTTCCACAAGAAAAGCTAATGAGAAGAATATTCATTCAGATCTTATGTGTGCAAAACTGTTGGTAACTCTTATTCTAGAAGTTCAATATGACTGGATATAAAATCCTTGGCTTTATTCCTCTCTTCTTGCATGTCTTTTATTGTCAATCAGTGTATTCTGGCAGGGGCTGTTGATACGAAGAAGCGTAAGTAACTTGATCTTTTGAGCTCGCACCCCAAGGTTTCTATTTTTCTTTAAGGCCCCCAAACTTTACTAGATTGTGACTTGGTGCTTAAATGTTGTGTTTAATTTTCCCTGGACATGGTGTGCCCTTTAAATATCTAGAGTTGCATATCTTTTTGAAAAGGAGCATTTGCTTGAATTTTATATATATATATAAACATATATATAATTAATCTTTAAAAAAGTGTGGGTTAGGTATACAAATGGTCATTATGCAGGTATCCTTGCTTATGAGGTGTTTCCCCCTACCCTGGCAGTTTCTCACTACTGCCAGTCCCATTCTTATAGTATTGTAGTACTTGTTCAAGGTCTGCTTATGAGTGAGAACATGTGCTACTCAGTTCTTTGTTTCCATGATAGATCACACAGTAATATAGATTCTAAGTCCATTTCTTGAACTATATTTTAAAATTATCCTCGTGGAGACTTTTGTGGTTTCCTCTTCAGGATCTTTATGTGTGTGCAGTCAAGCCTTTACTATATTTTATACCTTTTAATGGTCTTAATGTTGCATTATGTAATATTAACATTATATTATATAATTTCTTTCTTGATTTGTTTTATTAAACTTACTTATCTCCTTTTGATCTTCTTCATTTTACCTTAATTAAAATGACTTTTAATATTGTCCTTAAAATTTTAGTCTAAAAGACATTTAATTTTGTCTAGTTTTGTAATCTTTTTTCTATTTTTTTGTGTTTTGCTAGTTCTCATTTTAATTTTTGCTGTTGTCTGGCCACCTTATTCCTTAATTGTTATACTTTCTTTCTTTTTTTTGTTTTTTTTGAGTTAGAGTCTCACTCTGTCACCCAGACTGGAGTGCAGTGGCCGCTCCCGGCCACTGCAGACTCGACCTGTTGGGCTCCAGTGATCCTTCCGCCTCAGTCTTCCAAGTAGCTGGAATTACAGGCATGCGCTATCACGCCTGGCTGATTTTTTGATTTATTGTAGAGATGAGGTGTCACCAAGTTACCCAGGCGGGTCTCGAACCCGCGGGCTCAGGTAATCCACTCACCTCGGTCTCCCTAAGTGTGGGATTACAGGCTGAGCCACTGAACCCGGCAATTGTTATACTTTCTGCTTTTGTTCTTTCACATTGGCAGTAACTTTGTTATGTATTTTTATTTATTTATTTTATAATCAATATTTTTTATTATGGTTTTGTGGAGTACAGTTAAGGGTTAGGTGTACAATTACGTCATTCAGGCACCTGTTGATAAGAGGTGTTTCCCCATCCTCAGACAGATATTTGCTACTGTTAATCCCATCCCCCTCACCCCCATAGTTTCCCAGTACCGTCAGTCATTTTCTTATAGTATTACATTGGATGTTCAAGGTTCATTATATAAGTGAGAACATGTGATATTCAGATCTTTGTTTCTGTGAGAGGTCACTCAGTATTATTGACTCTAGTTCCATCCAGGTTGCTGCGAAATTCATGATTTTGTTCTTTTTTATTACTGCATAGTATTCCATTGTGTATATGTGTCACATTTTTTAATCCAGTCCTCTTTTGATGGGTAGCATGGTTGGTCCCAGGTTCTTGCTATTATGAACAATGCTGCGATAAACATACGTGTGCAGGTATCTTTGATATAGAGTGATTTGCATTCTTCAGGGTATATTCCCAGTAGGGGAATTGGGGGTCATATGGAAGGTCAATTTTTAGAGCTTTTAGGAATCACCACACTGCTTTCCACAGAGGTTGCACTAGTTTACACTTCCACCAACAGTGTTGAAGTGTTCCCTTTTCACCACACCCTCTCCAGAAGCTATTATTTTTTGAGTTGTTGATAATTGCCATTCTGACAGGAGTTAGGTGGTATCTCAGTTTGGTTTTAATTTGCATCTCCCTGATGATTAGTGAGGTTGAGCATTTCTTCATGTGTTTGTTGGCTGCTCGGATGTCTTCTTTTGTGAAGTGTCTGTTCATATGTTTTGCCCATTTTATAATGGGGTTGTTTGTTTTTTTCTTTTCAGCACGTTTGAGTTCTTTGTAGATACAGGATGTTAAGCCTTTGTCAGACCTAGAGTTGGCAAATACTTTTTCCTAGTCTGTAGGCTCCCTGCTGTCTTGATAGTTTCTTTGGCTTTGCAGATGCTTGTCAGTTTTAATAAGGTCCCACTTGTCTATCTTCTCTCTTATGTCCTGTGGTTTTCGGGTTTTGTTCAGGAATTGGATGCCAGTTCCAATTTCCATGAGGGTATTTCCTTTCTTTTCTAAGGTTCTTATGGTTTGAGGTCTTACATTTAGGTCTCTGATCCATTTGGAGTTAACCTTTGTGCATGGGGATAGATAGGGGTCCTGTTTCAATCTTCTGCCTGTGGTCAGTCAGTTTTCCCAGCACCATTTACTGAATAGGTTTCACATTGAAATACCAACCCATAAAAACATATTATTAGTGAGCACTTTATATAAAATTGTTTTATGATGTTTCTCATATTTGAAAGTATACACTGTCACTATATGAATGCTGTATTAATTTGTTTAAAAAAAACCCTCATATTTGAATGAGTTAGGTTATTCTGCATCAGATATTTGCAGAAATTTCCAGTGGATATTGGGTCATGGAGGGATAAGTATAGCTTTCTAATGCAATGCATCTCAAAGACTCCTTTCCATGTTGCTACAACAATGAGTTGTTTTCTTTTAATATGGCACTTTTAACATGCTCATGCCTCTTCATTTCCTCCAAACCTTAGGAAGTTTAAGAGGGTTTGGTTCTTCCACTGATCACTGTCACCTAGGGATTCAGCCCATGTCTTTCACTGCCATCTTCTCACCTTCTGAAAGTGATTCCTGAGTTGTGCCCATCTTTGGATCCTATAGACTAATCCCTTTTCCAAAGAGTTCCTATCAGTTCTTCCCACAGAATTTCTGGGCGGTTTTTCTGCTATCAACTGTTTTTGGGCATAACTATACATAATTTTGAGCTTATAGCATTTCCCATAGCCACCGAACCTGGCCTAGACTTTTATTTTATGACTAAATCCTCATGTCCAAGATGAGGTCTACTCTACTCCCTATTTCACATCAACGTTTTGAGTAAGAAGAAGGAAATATAAGAAGTGGCACCAATATATAGCCTTCTGCTTATCTTTTCCATAAAAGAAATATGCTGCTTGACTCATCGAGCTGCAAAGTATTGGCTGAATGACATTTTAAGGCAAGCATGGAATAAGAAATCGGGAAACAGTGTTTGGGTCAAATAATCCTCGCTATTACCATCAAGCTGTTTTTTTCCTAATACTATACTCTTCAGTTTCTGTGTTGACTATTGTTATGACAATGCGAGTTATTTTGTATTCACTGTCATTAAATATGCTGACAAACAATTTATCAGACAAATGTATCAAATCATTTCTAGGAAAAGCACAGCCAGCAATCTGAATTTATTATTGAAAACTTGGTAAACACTGTAAATGATTTGTTCGGAGCTGGGACGGAGACAACAAGCACAACCCTGAGATATGCTCTCCTGCTTCTGCTGAAACACCCTGAAGTGGCAGGTATGACCACACATGACTCGCAAAGTGAATTTCAGAGAAAAATGTTCGAAAGTTGCTTCCAGTATCCTACATCTTGTTTCTACTGGAGAAGCTTCATGATATAAACTTCTGTTCCACCAGCTGAAAGCTGTCAAAATTTCATGATGTTCTTCAAATGGGACTTTTCACAATACGGGTGGAGACTGAGAGAAGTGACAATGCAAGACAGCAGAAAAAGCAATAGAGCTCTGGTGTGGGGTCTGGAATCTAGGGAGGTCATTTGTGGCAGGCAGAGTCAGTATCATTTGGCCTGAGATTGTGTGTTGGCATTATTATGAAAAGACCGCTTTGAGCATCCTGTTGATTCTTGAGAATATCTTCTCTCTTACTGAAGAAATTTCATGTTCTAATGGTGGAGTAGGAAAAATGGAAACTCTTCTTATTGAAACATTAGTAGAAATCCTAAAAATTTACTGAGGATGCCTATGATAACTTCCAGTCTGGGTAGAATTATAAAATGCTAGATTCATAAGAAAGGGGTTTTCATTTAGTCAGCAAATATACCTAAAAGATGTTCCATTTAGGTGGAATATCCACCTAATTTTTTTTTTATAATACTTGTGTTTGGAAAATAAGGATTTTAAGGTAAAGTCAATAATTGTATTTTTTTGTGAAAATCTCTAATTATTAACTTTTTCAAAGTGGCAGTTATGCAACAAATAAGAAATATTATTTTGCTGAATAAGGGTACCATTAAAATGACTATGATGTAATTAAAATATAAGAGGAATTAGGCCTTCTAATTAAAAAGAAAGTACCAGAGAAAACAACCACCAAGCTCTCAAAAAAGTTTCAGGAACACAGAGAGCAGATGGAGGGAGGATAAATGACTTAGCACAGAGGATGAAGTTGTAGCCTAAAAATCAAAAGAGAAAGGTTTATCAAGGAGGAAAAGATAACCTCTGCCCCTACAATCCCTATAAGATTCAGTATTTGAAGGTACCAAGTGTCAAAGAATGTAAACAATGACGCTGAAAGAGGAGGCTCTCCCTGTCCAGTCATTGAATTCAGAGACTCTTAATCTCTTTCCTCCATTGTGCATCCTGAAATTCAGCAGCTTGTCTTTAAAAAAAATTATAAAGATGTTGGGTACAATTCTGGGTTAAGTATGCAAATGTTTATTATGCATGGATCCTTGAGATGAGGTGTGCCCCTCCCTCCCCTAGCAGTTTCCCTCAACTGCCAATCCCACCAACCCACTCCTGACAGTTTCCCACTGCTGCCAATTGCTTTGTTATAGAATTATAATTATTCAAGGTCCGCTTATAAGTGAGAACATATGGTGCTCTATTCTTTGTTTCTGTGATAGATCAATGAGTATGATCAACTCTAAATCCATCTAAGTTGCTGCGAAGTCCATATGTTTGTCCTTCTTGTTGGTTGCATAATATTTCATTGGGTCTATGTACCACATTTTTAAAATCCAGTCCAGCTTCAAAGGGCAACATGGCTGGTTCCATGTTTTTGCTATTGTGAATATAGCTTGGCAGTGTATTTCATACTTCAGAGAGGGAACAACTCTAGAGAAAAGGTGTCTGCACCTCTTTTTTTGTGTGACAGTATCTCACATTGTCATACAGGCTGGAGTGCAGTGTCATGATCATAGTTCACTGCAGCCTTGAACTCCGGGCTCAAGCAATCCTCCAGCCTCAGTCTCTTGAGTAGCTGGGACTACTGGCGCTTGCCACCGCAACCAGCTCATTTTTAACACTTGGTAACTTTTGTTTTTCTGTAGAGATGGGGTGTTATTAAGTTGCTCAAGCTTGTCTGAAAAGGTCTGGCCTCAAGTCATCTTCTCACCTAGGCCTCTCAAAGCACTGGGATTACTCAGTATATATTGTGTTATTTTAATAGAAAATTATTTCCAAGTTTCCAGTAAAGGGAATGAAGTAAAGATATCCTCCCAAAGATACAGGATCATAAAATTTCAGAACATTAGGACTAAAGGGAAAATAAAAAAATCAGAGATCTATTAGGTCATATAAAAAGATTAGAAATGCCAGAATTCTCAAGAGTAGCTATTATCTTGTGCCTTATTAGAAGAATTGTATTTTCAAACTTTGGCCCATTTGCCAAAAATATTGCCTTCTATTTTCCCTTTCTCAGAAAAATATTGAAGGATGTGCTTCATCCAAATGTCTGAACTCGTGTCAGAGGAAGTCACTGGACCCAAGAATCGGTAGATTTCATGTAGGAGAATGAGAGTGTCAGGGAGACAGCTGGGCACCACGCTCAGAAAAAAACCTCTTCAGAAAGGGCCAGGAGGATAATGTAGCTGTGAAGGGAGACACCAAGAACAAAAGAGATGTCACAGATGTTATGAGGGTTCCCAATAACTAAAAAAGATTACTGATAATCTGAAATTTCTATCTGAACATTTGTAAGTAATTCTAAATGGGGAAATTTACAAATTGAAATAAAGAGACATGGTTAAATTGAAGAAATTGCCAAAAATGAAATGCAGTCTCCGTTGTCTTACTAGGGAAGCACATGCATGCAGCCAGGGTGATCTCAGCAATGAATGTTTATACAATTAAAACTGTGGTCTAGACACTTTCTGAAAAATGGAGTGAGGGGAAGTGAGTGTGCATGTGTGTTTGAAAGTGTATTCAAATATGAGGTGAAGAAGGAGATAAAAATTCTTATATCTCATAAGAGTAAATCATTAAATATTGTCTACAAATGAGTAAGTAAGAGAAAGAAACAGTCTTATTTAAAAATATAGATACTTTCTTTTAAAGCTACTCTAATAGAACGTTCAAAGTGACTACATGGAAAGTGCAAGGAAGAAGAGAAAACTATTTACCAACTTTTTTTTTAAAGCAGGGTCTATTCAGGGACAGAAAAGTTCCCACAGTGGGAGGGGACCCGAAGGGGTGGTTGCCTGAGAATACTATTATAAATGCAAACACACATAGAGGCACACAAATACACACACATAAAGTTGTGAGTAGATTTTAATTTTTCAAATGTCACATGCTATTTTAATATGAAATCAATATGTGATTTTTGTTTTTTGCTTTTGCAGGGCAGCTATTTTGTGACTTCATTACATGCTGTCTTTATATTTTCAAACATCATTTCCTCATTTCTATTACTTATTATACATGCTAATGTATGTAAATGTATAAGTTTATATTAATGCCTAGCCTACGGCATAATTGTACGCATTTGTGCTATAACAATTCCTTCTTTAAACCTACATGTACATTCGGCACTATAATTTCTATTTATAATAGTATAAGAACATTTTCATCATGCTTCACGAAACCCTAAACTGCTATAGGAAATGTGCCGTTTCTTTCTATTTTCCATCCGTTCTTCCTTTTGTCTTATCAGCTAAAGTCCGGAAAGAGATTGACCACGTGATTGGCAGAGACCGGAGTCCCTGCATGCAGGACAGGAGCCACATGCCCTACACGGATGCTGTGATTCATGAGGTCCAGAGATACATTGACCTTATCCCCACCAACCTGCCCCATGCAGTGACCCGAGACATTAAATTCAGGAACTACCTCATCCCCAAGGTAAGCTTGTTCCTCGCACGGCATCTCGGTGCTCTTGAAGACCCCAAATTTGTGATACGGCTCCAAGTTTCCAGCAAAGTGAACACACGATAGAGAGCTGTAAGACCCCATACATGTGGCGGA